GGGGTGATTTCCACCCGGGCCACGTTTTAAGAACACCCTTTGGGGCTCCAGGTGCTGTTGTGGGGACAGACACCAGGGCGCTTTGGGATTCAGGATAGGGCCCCCTTGTTCGGGGCGGCGGAGATAGGTAGAACATAAACCCTCCGGGGCTGGAGGAAACTTCCATGGTCTTCATAGGGAGGGAAGACTGTTTAAAATGGAGGGGGAGGGAGACAGGGGTTGGTGGGTGGAGGGGGGTTTTATTGCATTTTCCCCGGGAAAAATGGGGAGCAGAACGGGAAACGCTTGTTATTGGGGAACATTTCGGGGTGGGCAGAGAGGGAAATTCCAGTAGCATCCCCCCACCTTTTTGGGGGGCTTCTTGGGGGGGGACCAGGTGGAGGGGCGGGGGAAAAAGTTCTTCCCCCCCCTGGTTTTTTGGGTGGGTTATCAGCCCTCCCCCCCCGTTTTCTTTTTGTTTTTCTTCCCCGGTTTCCCCCTTGTAGGGGCAACAAGGGGGGGGGGGGGGGGGGGCAGAAGGCCCAGCGAATGAACTTTGACGGCTCTTACAATTTTACCACTGCAGAAAAACAACAAAACCACGATATATTATCGCCGGCAAACGCAGAAAAACAGAAAAGATAACTGAGGGGGGAATAAATAGTCGAATAGAACGACACAAGCATGCTTTAGTAACGCAGATGAATTTTTTGTTTCCCTCCTCTTGCAGCCACCTCCCCGCCGTCTTCGTACGCAACAAGAGCTAGCTGGCTCACCGCGACGGATAGCGCGTGCGGCCCAACGCCCCAATCGCTCTTGTCGTAGACCCAGACGCCGTTCTCCCCCATCCACTCCTTGAGGGCGTTATTCTCCGCTACTCGGCTGTCTTCCGCGACCATCCCGCCGAGCCCCGACATCTGTGATGGTGATGGTGACGTTCGGGGGGGTAGGCAGTGGGGGGGGGGGGGGGTACTCTTGTGTAAACACCTGCCGTAATCGGTAAACCACAGACCTCGCATCCCTACGATGCCGGGACGGAGCGACGCATGAGGGGTTTTCGCCGGGCTAGGCTACGGTTCACAAGGATTAACCAGATGCTGGTCATCATCTTGCGTTGCTGTGTAGGTTGGTTGGGCATCCATCCCGGCTAACCAATCGTTTCACGTTCGGGAGGCACGGCTAGGCTATCCTTCGGGTACCGCAAGAGACTTCGACCTTTGCGCGCGCTCTTATACACAACAGGCGCGCCACACACAGCGAACACGTCGCTTCGTGTGTGAAACATACACTTAGAAGTAAACCTGCTCCTATACTTCAGGTGGAACATTTCTACATGGAGTCCACAAGATTGTTGCTCTCTGCATAGGACGTTCCAACTATCTAGTGTTCAGCGAACATCCTGTTGGGTGTGAACCCCAGGACCGAAGCCCACTAGCTCACCGGACAGGACACACCGCATCAACAACCCCCATGCCACATGAGCCAACCTTCCTCGACCAGTTCACAAATCCACCCTCAAACCGACATGACGGTGAGGTTGGGGCGGAGCGTTGCGGTGATGTGTGCACTGTTCTCTATTCTTCGCAAAATGAAAGTATTTTGCAAGAAAAAAGACTTCACCGACGAAAGACGCATATTCAAAGCAACTCCTTTGCAAGGGTGTAACATTCTCGATGTGCTTCTGTGATGTATAATCGTCGCCCGTGGCAGTAGGACTACAGCAGTACTACATACGCATATGGCGGCGGTGGGCTGGTTCCCGTCACACCGGTGCAGACGTCCAGACTGGTTGATTCGAACATTCCCGCATGATCCTTCCAGCTGAAAGCTCTAGGACATGTCGTACCCGGTGATCCCAACGCGATGTGACCACGCATTGCCGGTTGTGGTGCAAAGCGAATAGACTATGCATACAATGCTGCTGTATCGCCGCCTGTTGTGAGTGCTGCCTGATCGGGCCAAAGGAGGGGGTCACCGACACATGTTCTTTTCCTCCAAGCGGATCACACCAACCGTATCTAAATACCTTCTTGCTAGGACCTAATGGCAGCCCAGGCTCATCAGCCACGCCCTTCAAGGCTTCCAGCCACCCCTCATCCTCGGCAAACATCGGGCCAGACGCGCTCCGCCTTCGCCGGCCGCTGCCGCTACGACCCTCACTAGCGCTGCTGTAGTAGCTGGAGCGGCTGCCTCCTGGTGCAGCTCTCAGTGTCCCTGCGGATCTCGCCGGCCCTGCTGCCATGCCGTGCTGCCTATCTGCGTGGAGATGGCCCAATCTACGCTTCGGTCCATGAGCCGATGGCGGCGTGCCTGCTGAAGGAGGGCTGGAGAAGGCACGATCGCAACGCTGCGATGTTGCTGGTGTTATCGACGTCGCTTGTTGTCGAGGCGGTGTGGTCGCATGATGAGTTGGCGATCTGGAGGTGAAAGTGAAAGCCTCTGAGCCGGCGTTGTTTCTGGCGGACCAGACCGCCAATAGCATACATCGCACCGTCCACTCTGATGCCGTACCCATGGTTTTTGAGTTGTCGTCCTTCTCGAACAAGCGAGGAACAGGAGCACGAGCGCTGGTGTGCTTCTGTGTGTGTCATGCCGCAGCTTTGGAGCTCCGGCAAATAGAAGCAAGTACCCCCCTACCTATGAACACCGCTGCCCCCGCATGTTGTGCTCACGCTCACGTGTGACACGAGAGCCACGATGGCAAGCTAGGAGTGCAGTGGCGGGCCTGGCTCTATTGCTCCTTCTCTTTTAATCCTGCCGACGAATTTATCTCTACGAGAACAGCGACAAGGTGAGAACTGCTTTCCAGCCCTCGGCCCTCGGCCCTCGGCCCCCTCGCTCTTCCTACATACAATCGCGAAGTTCCGCCGCATCATCATACGAACCGAACCGAGCTCGCTGTTTGGGATTCGACCACCTCTGCACCGCACTCAGGCTTCCGGCCGTCGGTGATGTCCCTCAGGGAACTACTTGGACTCAACGACGCAGAGCACCGCCCCCAGCAGATCTGTGCGCCACCAGCCACGGGTCTGAACCTCCAGAGATCCCTTGTCCCAGCTGGCGCCGCGGCAACAGGCCCTGCCAGGAGCAGGAACAGCAGCAGCAGCCGCGAGAGCGGAGACACGACGCGCCGGCTGAACACGGGCGAGTCGTGGAGAGAGGAGGAACAGCGGCGCATCCAACGCATGGATCCAGGAGGCAGGGGCGGCGGAGGGGCCGGCCAAGTGCCGGATGGGTGCGGAGTAGCTACCTCAGCCTTCGCGCACCGCCAGCAGCAGCCACCTGCATCTGGGTCCGAGGCGCACGGGCAGCAGGGGGGGGTGGTATGGCGGGGCGGGGGCGGGGAATGGGCAACGGGGGCGAGCAGCCGGGATCAGCTCAACCGGGAGTTTTTGCTCCAGCAACAGCAGCATCAGCAGCATCAGCAGCAGCTGGAGGCCCGGCATCGCTGGGAGGAGCACCACCGACAGATCAAGGAGAGCCAGGAGAAACAGGGGCAGCAGTTCTTGAGTGAGGTTGCGAGAAAATACCAACAGCAGAAGCAGCAGCAGCAGCAGCAGCAACAACAACAACAGCAGCAGCAGCAGCAGCAGCAGCAACAACAACAACAGCAACAGCAGCAGCAACAGCAGCATCATCACCAGCAACAACTCCAGCAACATCACCAGCGCGAGAGCGCCTCGGGGGTAGGGCGTGTTTCCCACAACCCTTCGCCATCACCACCCCCCTTGCAGCAGCACCAGCATCACCAGCAGCACCAGAAACAACAACAACGGCAGCGGCAGCAGGAGAAGAAAATCCTGAAGAAAGAACAGCACCAGCGACGGAAGGAGGGTGCTGCTGCTGATAAGAAGAAGGAAGGCGAGGCTGGAAACAAGCAGGAGCTGGTGGCCCTCAAGGCCGGGCACGGGGTGAGAGTTAGCGTACTTAAGCGTGACGGCAAGCTTGCGGAAGGAAGCACGCTTCACTGCTGTTATATCTTCCCCGGACACGATTTCGTGTACTGGTACATGCGTGCGCGCCATAGACTTGCCAGGATTGGCAATTGATCGATATCCGTCAGAACTCCGTCCCCAGTGAGGATGACCGAAGTCCGCAGCGCGTGGCGGCAGCCATGCTTTGATAGCAGCAAGTAGATGCCTTCGCACGACATAGGCTGCGCCGTCAAATGCATGGGGGCATGGGGTGGGTGAAGGCTTTCCTTTATGAAGCCGCTACCTGTACACTACCCGAAGGTACAATGTAACTACTGTAGTTCCTGAATACGAACGCGCCCAAACCGCTGCTCTGACCGTACCACTCAGGTGGCGGTTGACCATCTGAACATGCTCGTCGGTCTGGTGGAAGAGATGACGCATAAGTGGGAACGGCAACTCGACGACGGCGGGGAGGGGGGATGGGATGACGACATGCTGGCGAGAGAAGGCACCGGAGGTGACGGCAACGTCGGGGCGCATGGGAGATTAATTCGCTACCTCGCAGTCACTCCTGTTCGGACCCAATAGAATGGATTGTAGGCTCAAAAGGAATGTATTGTGTGGTGGGTGGTGCGCACACGGAGTTGATCGTTAGTAGCCGAGGGACATGCAATGTACTCTGAACCGAACCGTTGCGGGAAAGGGGGCAGGAAAATGAAGATGGAGGGTGGAAGCAGGTGAGGCATTGCTGTTTGCGTTGCGCACGCACGTTTCTTGAGAGTCAAGGTTAGGGTTTGTTGAAGAGTTGAGGTTTGGATTAGGGTTGGACCCCGTGGACCCCAGCCTAGTGTTCTGTGCCTTCACTAGGCTTTGACGACCAAGGTTATGTATCTGTCGGTGCCGTTTCCACGTCGTAAAGTGTTTAATCGATGTATCCCTATGCCCAGGGTTCTTCCTCTTATGGCTAGGATAGCCCTCTATCCCTCGTATGAAGCTCCGGTGCCTGTGTGCTTGCGTCTTCTCGAAAAGCACCGTGGCGGCACGTAACCCACCCCCCGAAAAAATTATGGAACCTTCCGCGCGGGACTTTTTGACGCCCGCAGCCATGAAAGCGATACGATCGGCAGCCCTCGAGGGGCCTGGGCTGCCTATCGGGGTGATCGATTGGCCGGGAGTCGCTAGCAGCCTGTGGAGGCGACATTCAGTTGCATGGTCGCCACAGCTATGCCAGGTGCGAGCGAATGCTTTTTTTTTTTTATGTAAATGCGGCGGGAGTAGAGACCAAGTTTTGCATCTTGTCACGGACTATTTTCGGGGCTCTTGTCTGCCGGTTGCTGGGTAGTCAATCGCGTTGTCCCTTGCGCTGGCCTTGGCTTGGGCTTTTACTACGTGCGCCAAGCATGGTCTAGCTTCAGTGTCACTTGCAATCACGGCCCGCCGCAAGAACTTCTTGTGCGTGGATCGCCCTCACACCGTTCAAAACCCGCTTGTCTCCCTCGCCATGGGGTGCTATTTCGAATCCAGGGGTTGTGGAAGTTCGTGGCGTACGGCGACGTCGGGGCAGCGATGAACGCGCTTCCGAGAGCAGGGGAGACGCTCAACGGCGCGTGGACCCGGCAGGATCTGCTGTACGACTCAGATGCGGAGGCGTTGTCCGTCAACCCGCTCTTCATCTCCAAGAAAGACAGTGAGTCTGGCCGGCCGGCCGGCCGCTCTCTCTCTCTTTTTTTCTCCCTGGTCTCGTGTTGGTTCTGACTGCCTGCGTGGGACAACCTAACAAGTGCTGTGTGCTGGTTCGTGCTGGCTTTTTCACAAATACGAAAGAACCCAGAGCGTCCATGTAGCGCCCGCGTTGCTGTATCGAATGGGTTCGCCGCGCACATCTGAACAAGAGGGTATACATGTGAGGCCGGCTTGGCTAGGAACACTGTGACGGCACCCAACACCCCTCCTTCGTTTCAACCGCTTCCCGCATGGCAGCAACCTCCAAAGTCCCGAGGTGGGGGCGGTCGAGATCGAACCCTGCCGGTAAGCGCGAGTGGAGCCTGGCGGAGAAGGCGAGGAGCGAGGAGCCGCTCCGTCGAGCGCCGATGCTCATGAGCGGCTCAATCGACCTGCGACACTCTCCCGACAGGCCCGGCAGGGTCGGGAAGCAGGCCGCGGGCCGCGCTTCGGTAAGGGTTTTTGTGCACATGGTGTCCTCTCTCTCTCTGACGTGTCTACCTTTGAATACCTTCTTCATCCGGGTTTGCAGCGGTTGGATGTCCAACTGGGGGCGGCCGTGAGGGAGACCCCCTGTAAAATATTTTCTTCTGCCCTGCGTAGTCGGTTAAGGTTGCCGTATTCTGGCGGGCGGTTGCGCACAGCAGTGCCCTCGCACAGCAGTGAACTCCCTGGTATGCCTTCTGTAGCTGTGGATGCGGGCATGTAAGTTGTCGTGACATCTCCTTGGTTGTCTTGTTCGGCTTCGGGCAATGACCTACAACACCGGGCGGCGCTCTCCCCCCCTCCCTCCCCCCCGTTTGGCCATCGTCAGGACGAAGATCAGCTCGTGCCCCTCTGCACAATCGCCGCGCGGCCTACGTTTGTTCGGACCCGCAAGCGGCCTGCGAAGGGGATTGCTCGGCCGCGGGACCCGCTGTCACCGCGAAGCGCGAAAGCTGCCGCTGAGATCGCAGAAGCGGAAGCTCGAGTATGTGAGTGAAAGGGGACCTTGCCAAGAAGTATTTCGTACGCGCACATCCGTGGCCCCTCTTGTTGGTTCGGTTCGTTACGGAGGTGTTGTTCGATCCCCAGGTGGATATTTGACGAAGGTTGGCCTAGCAATGTCAAGCTGTATCAATCGTAGCGTCGCGGGCCTCAACTACTGTACACCCCCATCTCCTTTGGCTACTCGTTCATGTACGCGACGATGACGATTGTACTTGTACTCTCGTTTCGACATGTTGCCTACGGGTGGGAGCTCACCGCCACCCCTGTTGTGTGACCCCCTCCCCCCCATCTCCCTCTTTCTCCTGCCATCCGTCGCCCCCCCCCCCCTCCCCTCGGCCCGTGGTGTGCAGACGAGGAGCGGCAGGGGATGCAGCTTCTCCTACAGCAGTCCGCAGCAGACTCTTCGGCGACCGGAAAACAGAACCCGAAGGTCAACCGCGCCTCTGGCAACGCCCACGCTGCAGGCTCACCCCCGTTAGCGCAGGCCGGCGGCGTTGGAGGTGTAGCGGAGGGTCCGAGGCTGCAACAAAAGAAGCAGAGGAACAACACCACCAGCGTCGAGCGGGCCGCGTCCGAGGCGGCAAAGCGGGCGGAGGTCTGGGCGGCGGCTAGCGATGCGGCAGCAGCCGCGGCTGCTGCCGCCGCTGCTGCTAAGGGTTCTGCAGCAGCGTCGGCTTCCACTACCGCACGGTGGTCAAGCCATCGTCCGCCGACTGGTGGGCCTGCAAGAGGCTTGGCTTCGGTTCCACAGCAGGTGGAATGGCAGAGTCAGGGAGATGTTTGTACGGCGGACTCTCAGGGCCGCCAACACGGTCGGCCCGTGGTATCGGAGGGGTCCTCCCCCCCGGTGCCGCCAACCGCAAACCTCCACGCGTTGCACGTCGCCGCGAACGCCGAAAGCGACGGCGCCGCCGGCAGACCGCCGCCGTCGTCCCAAGACCCGGCTGTAGAGCAGAGGCGGCATTTTGCGTCAAGCTCATCCTTCTCGAGACAGCAGCAGCAGCAGCAGCAGCAGCAACAGCAGCAACAGCAGCATCAGCAGCAGCAGCAGCAGCAGCAACAGCAGCAGCAGCAGCGACAGCAGCACAGCTACCCGCAGCCCGCCGTCCCAGCGGGCCCTCCGCACCCGAACCGGCCTGCAACGGTCACCTATATACACATGGGTGGTCCGTCGGCGACTCACGGGGGCACGGTAGAAGCCGCGAACGACGGCAACGGCGCCGTTACCGCCGCATCTAACCCCTCGCGAAGCCTTCGCGCGGCCACGGGGGTTGAGCGTGCAGGAATCGGTGATGTTCGCGGCGGCGGGTTGGGTACCAGCGGCGGAAGCAGCAACAGCGTCGGAAGCGGCGGTGCCGGTGTCGGGGCGACAGCAGTGGGAGGCCCGCCGACGTGGAGCCGAGCGGAAGAATACGGTGCGACCGGGGGGGGGGCAGTTCCGGACCGCCCACCACCACCGCGTGCGGACGTGCCCTTGGCACCGCCCTCGCGCTTCGAGGCCCGGCCGCCGGCGCCCGCTGTTTCTGGGGTGACAGTACCGGGGTTCGGAACGATTGCCGCTGGAGCGATTCTGCAACGCCCCCCAACCTCAGAGTCCTAGGGTCCAAACTACAGGTACCACCAATCAATCGGAAAAGAGAGTATTTTTTTACCACGTAGCGTGGGGTCCCCTGCCATGGTATCCCATGTTTGGTTGAGGTGGCCTTTGAGAGAAGTGTGGCTCGTACCGTCAGTAACGGGCCGTCGTCGTGTCTGTGGTCTTCTGCGTACACGCAAGTGTAGGGGGTTGCGTGGTCATGGGCAGGACGCAACTTGTTTTTTCCTCGAGTCGGGGATGAGGGGATGGCTCCTCCCACCGCTCTTTACCCAACTACATGCGATCACTGTTGGCATGTACTGTGGCATGTTTTTGACAACGCGGCCAGGTGCAGGGACGGGTTTTCTTTGCTCGGTTCGCTCGCTCGCTGGTCTGGTGTTGACCCTCGAGAAGATTGCATCAGCAGTGCCATCAATTTGCACCTTGTCAAATTCGATTTGCACCTCGTCAAATTCATCACTTTCCGCGAAGCAGTTCTCCTTGCTTCTTTTCGTCCTTCAATTGCCCCCGCTTCTTCGCTCTTGACATGCATGCTCTGTTATTGTACTTCACTTCTCCAGGCGAGAAGTTAGTTCATGGCAAGTTGGTGACATCGCCAGAGGCTAATGATCTCGCAGGTCATGATGTGTGGTGCCGGAAAGCTGACAAATGGGACTTTGGAGAGGGAGGGTGTCCAGATCTACGATCTGCAGGATGGGCACATAAGATTCGGCGTTCGCATGCAACGCGACGGGGCTTCGGGCCCAGCCTACCCTGTTGGCTTAACTGCTTGTACAACCGCTGGTCGGCTTAGAGGGGGAACATTTGTGGAGTCTTTATTTGTCAAATTTATAAGTATACGGTGCCGGGACCCACTCCTGTTTTTGAGTCTAAAAGTTTAATGTTTTACTTCGCACCTTTATTTCGAGTTAAACCTGTGACAACCTAAACTTTTCTCCTGACAGCAGAAAGAGGGAGCATTGTACTGGATAGACTTCAGGAAATTTTCTGCAGTGTGATGAAAAACGATATGAGCATTGTGAACGGTCGAGATGGATGGGAGGGAAAGCAGGGGGGGTTCGGGTATGTAGGTCCTGGGTTGTCTGCGGGCTTTTGAGTTAGTTTAGTGTTCCACCTTCGTCTCGAGTAGTGGTATGATCGTGTTATCTACCTGGACAGAGCGGGCGCGGCACTGCTGCTGTTGCGACTGTCTACGGGTTGGGTTAGCTGGTCCGCTGGGTGTTGTTTGCGTTTGTGTTTTGGTATGTATGGTACTTTGTTTTGAGGAGGGCCGATTTTGATGTGAAATAGTTTCGTTGGAGCGAATAATATACTGATTATTTAAGGCGCAGGTTTTTTAGAAGCCAAGTCAAGCCATTAATCTAGATGGTTTCAATTCGGCTTCTACAAAAGGGTTTACCTATCGTGTCGTGGTGTTCTGTATGTCATCCGGCATGCACTAACTCTAGAGCCGTGTCATTTACTCTCGGCTTCTCTTATACTCGATGTACGTAACCTGATTCTATGTACATATCGCACGATACAAGTTCATTCTACGATCCTCCCCCTGTCGTTTCTTTAACGTTCTTCTGCCGCCACGCAAATAAATTGTAGCTCCGCACGGCACGCCATTTTTAAGTCAACGGTATTATTCTATGCTACGAAAATAAGAACCAGACGATTGGCAGGCAGTCGAACCTGCGTAGAAGACCCTCCTCCAATATATGTCCAGGTCATTCCGCGCGCTTTCTTAGTGTTCAATAGAGATGGATTTGTAGCGTTACGAACTCTGCAAATAATTTGGAAACCGAATAGTTGTTTGACTATTTAGTCCAATAATAGTCGTTCCTGCTGCACTCGCCATCTCGCCATCAAGAGCCCCGCTCGCCTGAAGAAGAATGAAGTTTGCAAAGTGCGGGCCATCCAAGGCAACTAGTGGTACACAGGAGCTACGCTGCTAGCAGACCTGCAGTTCAGGGTTTTGGGTCTGTGACGGCGGTTTGGACGAGAACAGAACCCAGGGCTGATTGCGGATAGACTAACGTTTTTTGTGTACTGCTGCTTTGGTTGTTCTAAGTTAGACAAAAATTAGCTGCAGCCTCCCAACGCAGCCCAACCGCAGATCTGAGCGTGGCAGCACTCACATCGCTATCCCACGATGTCCTACGCGGCTGCAGCACCTTGAAGGTGAAGAAGACCGTTGTTCCTGAGCACCCACCCCGTAGTTACTGCCGTCGTGGCATGCGGCAAGCAGTTGTTCCGCATTGTGCGGAAAAGATTGCGGATTTACAAAGACTTCTTCTGCTGTTGCCGACAGAGGACAGAAGACCCAACGGTTGCTCTAGGTCTGCGACAAACCATTGGGTTTTTCCATCTTTTCTCGAACATCGCACCTCATCTTCCACCTCCTCGAAGTCCGGCTGGACGACTGGACTGCCTGCTGTTTGATGATTTGTTTGTCAAGATCCAACTGTAGTGGTACGTGGGGCGCTTCCATTCAGCGGCACCCCCGCGCATGTTTGACAAACAATCATTGTGTTGCACCGCACTGCTCTGCTCGGTTGTGCAAGGTGCAAGGTGTCATCCTCTGTGCAGCCTGTGGCTTCCCTACCCACCCTGTCACCATGCGCAGCCGGGACGCTACCGCCTTGACGGTCCTTTCGGTGCTGGGGGTGTGCCACTCTTTCCAAGTCTCGCCGATTTCGCCGTGCCGACCGCGACACGCACCCTGCCCGCTGCTGAGGCCTCGTTGTGCCCAAACGGTGTGCAAGAGTGCAGGAAAGGATGAAGAAGAGGGGGACGGTGTGGATTACTCGGCGGATCCTATAACTGCGTTCCTCGGGAAGTTTCTGCCTAAGGGCGAGAAGAGCAATCCGCCACAAGCGAAAGATCTGGTGAGTGTTGGTGTCTATGCTGTATACTAGAACAAAACAGCACAAACTGCTATAGCTAGACTACGAAGTGTGCTTCTTCCGATTTTTCGTGATGCACACGTAACTTCAAACGAGGTGAAGCTGCATAGCGGCAGTACACCAGTAGACGTGCCGAGAGACATGCTAAAGGTTTCAGTTTACAGCCCCTCCCCTCAACCGCAAACCGTAACCCCTCCCAAAGTATGTAGAGGTGGGAACTTGGCGAGTTATTATGTCGTTGTTGGCGTGCATTCGGAAGGTTCTAAATATGTTGGTAGTCTCTCTGCTGTGTGTACTTGATGTTTCCTTTATATGCACCCCGGACCGATTTTGAAAGCTCGATTACGCCACGACGAAGAAGGCACATAAACGAAACGATACGTTTTCGGAGAGCTCTCGACGAGTCGGCTTCAACGCCGCCGTTTTCGGCGCTGTGACTATTTCTGCTGTTGAGAAATCGAGCTTTTGACAATCGGTGCAGGGTGTGTGTCATCTTGTGTCGTTACGGTAGTCTGGTCTTGCACCAGTGAGAGCCATTTGACTACAGTCGGTGCCGGCCCGCGGGTGAGGAACACCCATGTTTCGGTGAGGCGCAACACATAATTCACACCCTATCGCTGCAGCGAAAATGTGAGCTGTAGTTCTTGTGTCACCACCATTGCGTGTGTTTGACAGAGAAGGTTACCTGGCACACGTTGTCTTGCTCTGATTATTTCTTTTTGGGAGTATGCCAGCCAGTATTCGGCCGTCTCCATTTAACACGAACCTTCCATTTACCCTCTGCTTGCTAGCATGTCTGCCGGTTCTACTGGACAACTATACATACAAGTACATGACCTCGCAAGCACTAAGTCATCGTTGGGAGGGCGAACGAAACATTCAATCCATTCCCCATCAATATTCAAATCCAATCGTCAGGTGCTCCCGAACTGCACTGATCCTCATCTCTGGTCACTCCTTTTGGGTTGAGTTCGGAGTCCGCGCAATGGAAGCCGAAATCAACCCATCACACTAGTCAGCGCTGCCTAATGTTTTGATTTAGGCTTTCTCGAAGTTTAATCGTTACGCTCTTGGCGTGCTGCCGACTCGTCGCAACTCGATGAACGCCCATGATCCACATGTCACCTATATTGCTCGTCCATGGGCTTGTTCGCTATCAAGTGTTTTTTTTTTTATGGTGTTGTCTTTGACTTTAGCCATCATCAACCAACCTCGATCCGACACTCTCGAGGTGTGCCGATGGATGTATTGGAGAGTGTCAAATCTCCTCCGTGCGCATGAGACACAGATGATCACAGGCACGGGCGGTTCTTGCTTTGTTTGTTGGGGTTGGTTTCGGATAGCTGAATTTACCCCTTAAGACCATTTTTTTAACCAGGAAAGTGCCGAGACAAGAATCAGTCGCACAGCAGTATATATCACATCAGTATATATCACTGGCAATCTGTTCGAAAACCAATTCTGCCTCATTTGTGATCGAGCCAGACAGTACTTGTCATATGCTCCCGATCAGCCGCGAATTACCCGCGATGGTGTGGAATTCGGGCCCCTCCCACCCCCCGTACCCCACTTTTCACTCACAACTGTTGAAAGAAGGGGTACGGGAGAATCATTCCATGTTTTCCTGCCCAATGGTTGGTTGCATGCCGGTAGAAAGGTGGTCAGCTCGGTTGAAAGCAGCATTTTGCCAACTTTCGAAGCGTTCAAAGTGCTCTTGGTGGCATGGCGGCCCTTCTGCAACACCCTCTGCAACATCGCAATGGCCGACTGCGCCATGAAAAAGGAACGAGGCACTCTCGTACAGGGTTCTTAAGCACCCCAGATGCACAAGGTGTCACCACGGGCGCTCATGGCAGCGAAAGATGAGTCAGGAGCTCATCAAACAAACATGCCTCTGTCATGGTTTGTCGCCAGACGTGCGCAAGAGTCCTGCCAACACAATACTAGAGTATGTAAACATCGATGAAGAAGACGTTTGGCTGAATAGCGCACGACACCCATGCCGATCCCACACTCGATGAGAAAGGTCTGGTGGTAAAACCTTCTGAGATGTGCTCTAAATCTAAAGCCACTGCTTTCATCAAGAGTTAGGACTGTCGCTCGCGACATACAAATCACATGCCGACAAGGACACTTTTCGCGTTGGACTCTACGGGGGGAATTGGCCACCGTGTGTTCCGAGGAACAGCACATGATGTTGCGAGAGAGTCTCAAGCCTGTTGTAATGCTGTTTCGAAACATGTCACAGCGGAAGAGGCTTGCCACCTGACGAAAGGAATGACTGTAGAGGGCACCCCGGAAGGTTTCAACGTCAGACATTCCTTGGTCGAGTGTGGGATCGATATGGGTGCCGTGTGCTGTTGATCAAGCGTCTCTTTCATTGTTTTTTACATGCTCTTGTGCACGTCTGGGGACAAACCATGACAGAAGCATGTTTGTTTGGTAAGCGCCTGACTCGTCTTTCGCTGCCATGAGCGCCCGTGGTGACACCTTGTGGATCTGGGGTGCTTAAGAATCCTCTGCGAGTGTGCGATTGACGTTCATTTTCATGGCGTAGTCGGCGACGGCGATGCAGCAGAGGGATCAGCCACCCGGAGGACTCCGGGCGTGTCGAAAAAATGGCAATTTGTTGCTTTCACAGTGACATCGCCTGCGACTGGGTCATTCTTGGATCTGTTCTGGCTGCAGCATTCGCAGTCTACAAAGCAAGAAAATACCATATGGTTGGTTTGGCGCAACTTGCTCTTTTCGAGGAGCTTACACGTTTAGGCTGGACACCCCGAGGTACGCAACGCTGTCCGCGGGGCGGGGGTGCGGCCCTCAATTATTTGCAAGGGACGACACGACCTGTGTTACCTATCCTGTGGGCAAAGGTTCTCGTTTGTGCTGGTTTTGGTGCATGAGTGGGCTCACACCTAGCCCGTTTTCCTCTCTGTGGCGTCTGCGTAGGGCGGCCTGCGCCGGGGGGATGCAGAGAGGTTCTCAAAAGAGCGTCCGTTGAAGCGGCGTTTGTATTCCACCGTGTGCCCTAATTCGCCCACCTTTCGTACTGCTGTACCGCAAATCTTGTTTGCTCGATTTACGGCCAAACGCGGCAGGTGTTCAACGTCGGCGAGGACGCGAAACGAAGAGGCATGGCCGCGGGGGAAATGGCGTCTGCCCTCGACGAGGCCCTGAGAAGCAACGGCTGGTTCGTTACCGGGCGAATAGACTCCTCCCTCTTCAGCGAAGGCTTCTTCTTTTCGGACCCGCAGGTGACAAGACTGACGAACGACGCGCGTCGTATTTTTTTCCTAAGGTACAGATCGGGCCCGCAATCAAGAGAAATTCCGCGAAGACAACAGACGCTCGAATTTCCACCCAAGAATTTGACAATCGGGTTGAAAACACACACAGCTAGCTCAGCGGCGAATCCTATACTAAACTCTATACAAATTGATGAATCCTCTGCTCCACGGTGGAGACGAAATGAAAAAGAGAACCTCGTACCGAAATCGATGGTTGCGGGCCAGTTCTACACAGCCACTCTGCAGCATTCGATTTGGAATGATTGTGCGCCCACGCTCTTCTTGGACAAACTCTTTTCATGGGTGCCATCACCGGAGCAGTAACATCGAGGCTGACAACTGCTGTAGAACCAAACTGCTTGCTCGGCATGCCCGTGTATCAGGTGTCCCTCACCGGGGTCGACAAATACGCCGAAGGCGTGGCGAAGCTGTTTAACCAGGAAGAGTCCAGGTGCGGCGTAGTTAGTCAGGGTTTTGTCCCGGTGGTGACGAGCGTTCGCGTCGTTGCAAACGCCTCCGTGTGTTTACTGCCGAAAGAAGGGATTCAGTGTGCCTCGGGGTATTCGTAGTCGGTGCGAGAACCACACCCACTCTTGTCCGCTCGTGTATGTAGCCGTTTGTTTTTGTATGACAAAATCGTATCCAGTTCTGCCCAAGGGGGGGGTCCATGGGCGGTGAGTTGATATGGAGTGTGATCGCACCCACCAGTATTGCCGAGTCCTCGTGGAATATGCAGCAGGAGGTATCTCCCAAGGGGGAAAAAACTCATCCATGCCGTAGCAGTGGTCTTGGTCATATCGCGATCCGTACGTACGCAGGTGTGACGTCATTTCCACGGAGGTGGACGGGGAGGACATTGTGGTGAACTGGCGTCTCTCCGGGCGGATAAACCTGCCGTTCAACCCTCCCATCAAGCCTTACATTGTGACCACTACCTTCGAGAGAGACTCAGGTCGGTGCCCTTGCCTGTCGTAGAGATGGTGGGGCTCCCGAACGTTTTAGTCGGCAGCAGAGTGTGTGTGTGAGAGAGAGAGAGAGAGACGGAGGAAAGCGTGCCTCGGCTCCGTTGCTCATCTCCCCATCATGAGTGTTTTGGTTGCAGGGAATTTACCCCCCCTTCGTCCCGCCCCTCCGCCCGCCACCGCGTCCTACTTCAGACGGGCTGCTGAGCACCCAACGGGACGAGTTTTCCATCGCCGGCTGGGACATCTTGCTGCATGCCGTCTTTCCCGGTCACCCTTTCGGGGCGGACCCTGCCCCTCCCGTGCCCCCGGTCGCCTCGTGACGATATAGATACTGCTTTTGCCGCAGTGGAACATTTGTGTTTCTATACGGCACCTGTTGGCACGACAGAGGCGTGGGCGCCAATAGATGATGCGGAGCTCTGCTCTGACTTTGCAGCAGTTTTGACGTTTGGTTGGTTGGGGAATGCCAGGTGCTGTCGTTGGGCAGATTTTCACTGCGTTGTGTAGCATGGGCATCAGTTCTTGAAGGTCAACGGCAACCACAAACAAGTACTTACTTAGTTTGCACAAGGAGACAGACGCAATCATGCGCGCTCAAGCTTCCTATCGAAGTAAATCGACGCATCAGGTATTCTTCCTTGGGGTTCATTCAGCAGGACATCGAAACGCCACATAGCACATCAGTGTTGGTAATGTGGTGATGATCCTGCGTTATATCGCTGCTGCGTCAACTGTGCTGGCAAAAAGATAGGCCCAGGGAATTGGTTTGTGTTACACGCGCACAATTATGGCCGTTGTGTTTCTGTAATCAGCATCGACTGCGCTGTCCGAATGGCAATTGATGAAGACGTCAATCGAAATTCGTGGGATATTGGGCGCATACGCGCTCTGTGCATGTCGTCATCCCACATTAATACTGGACGGCGCCGTTTCCATGTGTTGTCGGTGTGATTTCTCCCCAGCCCGAGGTCACGCAACAAGTAGTCTAGTACTTCCTCGTTTGGTAAAGAGGTCCGACAGGGAACCAGAGACCCACGAAGTAAGTGCGAACCATGAGATAATTAGTTCACCCGAGAAGAGTGTTTTTCCTCGCCCGGAGAGGAGGTAACTTCTGCATGACTGACCCCTGCTGGTGCGTCAAACCACAACAACACCGAAGTGTGTAGACTTGGCGCCCAGAATAAACGGGACGAAAACACGCGCAAACACGCCTCATGTACCGCAGGTCCATGGCATTTTTTTCTGGTTGCGTACTGCTGTTCTGGAGTGTTTGGGGACGGGATGGCGTTCTGTGCAAGCGAGACAGGTAGGTGTAAGGCAAGCCGGAAGCATCCGTGCCTGGTGCGTTTGTTGCCTCCTGTCAAGTGTATGTATATGGTCATCATTATTTTACACACCCACCGAAAGGGGGGGCGTGAGTTGTCGCCTGTGTCTGTGACGTAGCCTAATCGGCCCGGTAGTTTTCCCGTTCGTATGCTCTCTGGTGCCTTCAGCCACACACACGTAGATTGATTCAGGGATGTGCTTCTTCAATATTTTCCCTCTCTGCGCCCGCACGGCGGCTAGTAACAACCAACCCTCCTTTCCAGGCGCGGTGTACGCTTTGCATGCAGGCATGCATGCCACGCTTTGTTGGCGCTTGCCCCGCCGTTGGATCTGCGGCACCTCGGAACATACCTCGGATACTACGCAAAGTGGGCGTCATTGGTCAGCGGTATGATCAACATGCCTTACGTCAACGTGCCCGCCTATGGAAGATGACAATATAGAGCTCTATATTGTCATCTTCCATAGGTGCCCGCCAAAGAGGCCGGGTGGGTGCGCACGTCGATTATGTGTATGTAGTATATATTATACACATACATGCCACAAATGAACTAATGAAATGACCGAAACACGACGCAGCAATTCATTCGGTGGCGAGAGCGAGAAGGAAAGGAGGAGCGCATTGATATCCACGAAAGAGGACACAGCAGGTGTACCCTGTGTGTATGCGTAAGTTGGTTTTGCTGAACTCGTTGCACCCCGAGGAGAGAAGAAATAGATCCGACCGTTCTTTTTGTAGATAGAATAGATGGTGGAGCCGTCTTTCGGTGCTGACGGCGGCTCATCATCATCAATCATCTCAGTTGGAAGTTGGAAGAGGATGAGACGATACACTCGCGAGAGAGCACGTTTTCGCTGCTCTCCACTACAACACTACTACTGTACTTTATACAGCAGCATGTTTCATTGCATTTAAATCCGACTCTATCTACTCTGCAGTTGAATACATGAATATGTCTCAAAAAGTCAACGAGTCTAATATAAACCACTATATTTTCGCACGTGAAAAAAACACAGCCCGAGTGGGCTTCGAGTCCCATGGCAGCGATGACCTGTGATCTCCTTCAACTGACGCAGGCGGTCAAGCCCCTCGCTCGCCCAACTGGTTCGTTCAAGAACAGCCAAGCCGCACAGCGTTCGTGACAGCTTCTTCTGAAGCGTTGCTCACCCTCCCCCTCACCCCCCCTATCCCCCCGAATATCCAAATCGGCGTTATTCGAAAAAATAAAACCTCAAAGGTAATAGGATTTAGGATTTAGTATGTGGTATAGTAAAACGTACATATTGTGTGTTGGGCTGTGAAAAAGAAAATTAGGTAGAGCAGTAATTTGAGGGGTACAAGGAGCAAGGTGTCTCCGTGTTCCTTAGTTTTGGAGGCTAGTAAGGGTACGAGGATTAGAAGGCGAGGGTACGCCGCTGTCACCTTCCAGTGCGTCTCCCTGCTGAGAGCGCGACGGTGCACCAAGCTTCGCCTGCGCAACACCCTCTTCGGCACCGCGGGTCTGGGAGCTTGCCACCTTGCGAGTGTGTGCGTGTGTGTGTCACACAGAGATCTCCACCTACCCTCTCCAATCAGGTCAGTTTCTCTTCCCGTTAGTTGTTGCTACGATTGGTGCACACCATGCCTGCCGGCGACACGCCAACCGCACCAAGCGAGAAGCTGTGTCCTTTTTTGCCGTCAGCCTAGGCACCTGTCGGGGCGTTTGCCCGTGCACACGGAGGTGGTTGCAGACTCGCTTTTCTGCGAAGAAATGTTCGAGCCAGGGTTGTATGCAACGAAAGTCTGCTCTTCGGCCCGCTGTGGGAAATAAATTTTTGGAGAGTTCAAGACGGGTGTCGTGACTGCGACCGTTGACAAGGGCACCCGCGTGCGGTGAAGGGGTGACCCTCCGCGCTGCCGGTGACGGGCCGGGGATCTGCGAATCCCGCTTCGCTGCCTGCTGCCCCGTTGGCACGTGGGCTGACTGCGTACGGCGCGTGCGGGCATGTTAACTCCGTACCCAAAACACGACAGCAGCAGCAGGTTTGTTGTTGGAGAGGAAGGTCTGTGCGACTGCTTCTGCTTTCATCTCTCTCTCTCTCTCTCTCTCTCTCTCTCTCGCGGTCGGTCTACTCGAGCACACTCGCACCAGGGGCACAAAGCGGGGGTACACCTCCAGCAGCTCCAATGGCAGCACCGCGCAAAACAGCAGCAGCAGTTGGGCTTGTATTATTGTGCGCGCACGCCGGACACCCTTTTCTCTGTTCGAAGCTTTGAGCTGCCGCTTGCTTTTTCCGCGACCACTTTCGGGCAACGACCGCATACCCTCTCTCTCTTGATTATGATGCTCCGGCGTCGTGGCGTGTCTGTGTGTCTTAGTGTAATGTGGGGCGGTGTGTGTGCTGAGCTTTTCATCCCGGGGTTAATTCTTACACACATGCAAAGTCGTTCTTCACGAAAGGTGCCGTTGGCGCAGTTTGGTCTGGTGTCGCGTCTCTCCGGTGGACTGCTGCTGAGTGCCGCGCGGCGACTGCTTCTGTGTGTTGAAATCAGTAGCGTTAACCGCTTTCCAACCCTCTTTCCTCTTGCGACTGAAACACGCCACCAAGATGTCCCGCATTGCACGTCTTCAAAGGAGAACGGAGTTACTCACTATGATGGTATACCACGATCCAGGTTGCCAGGTTCTCCACTATGGCATCTCACACGATAGCAGCGCGCGCGGAACCCTGCTGTGCGGTCTGAGTAGTTTTGTGGTCATCTTGTGCATAGCAGCGCGCCCCCGTAGCTGAGGTGCCAAAAAAATGAGAACATGAGTGTGTGGGCATGCGGACGTTGTGTTCATATTTTTTTCATCGCTTGATGAGGTGAATTCTTTACCGAATCGTGCGCAATTAGGTGTTCCCGCGCAATGAGACATGTGAGGCAACTCCTAGATTGCGCGCCAACATCGCAGTGCAAACAAAGCATGCCAACGGTAGCAGCAGCAGCAGTCTCTCGAGCGGGCGCACGAAACAGTCCAAAATTTGCAAAATTGCTTGGCAATGATGCTACTCGTGAGTGCGCGCTCGTTTTTTGGTGGCCCGCGACACGCAAAGAGGCCTGAGTTTGCTTCTCTCGCATCTATATCGTCCATATGCAGCAGCATGGTTATGTTGGACCACGCATGGCACACGGTCCCCCGGGCAGCAGGGCAGCAGAAAGAAACTCCATCTGACCCTGCCAGAGCAGGAAAGTGGCTCATGATTCGGCAACTGGAGCTAGCTCCCAAGCTTTTATTGAGTGCGAGCACCGGTCGGACCGACCAATCACGTCGCGTACGCGTCGCTGCGACTTGCTGAGTTGTAGAATCAACAACTTGAACACTGCGTGTCGCACATTCCCGGAAGTTAGGCAAGGAACCCCCCAACACAAAGTATTTCTTGTTGTTCTTGTTATTTCTTTATCTTCGCGGTCAAGCCTGTCCGCAACGGATAAAAATATATATACGTGGCCGTTGTGTGTGTGGGTGCGGAGTTGCAGAGACACAGAAGGATATTTTGACACTTTCGTTGGACGGACAGCAGTGGGAGCAACACGGCGAGAGTGCGAGAGTAGATACGATAAACCTCTTATCGTAATTACTTGCTGTCCTTCTTCTCTCCCTGTCTCTTGTGCATGAAGGCAAAAAGCCGCAGCTTCCCAACTCGCGTTCGCGAAGACGACGAAAAATCAACAAACGCGACCGCCCCCGCAGCAACGACCAACCAACAAGGTTTTGTGCAGGACTGTACAAACCATACCCAGTCACACATTTTTTTCGGCGCGCACTTGTGACAACCAACGGCAGTGTCGAAGTGCGTTAACGCGACGACGAACGGCAGCACAACGTAAAAATTATTTCTTACGGCGGGACGGACTATCTACGGTTGTGATTACCACGCCGGTAAAACCCCGCATGCATCGCTCCGTCCCGGCATGTAGGGATGGGAGGGAGGTCTTGTCGTGTACCGACTACGGTATTCGTTTACGTGGGTACCCGCACACAAACCCCGAACTCCTTGTGAGACAATATGGAGATCCTTGACGCTGGGTTTATGGCGGCGAAATCTCATGCATTGGTTGTGTTTCCGTCTGTGGCAACGCCGAGGCGGAGCAGAACGCGATACAGACTAGACTATTGACACGTACCAGTATGCATAAACCCACGGGTTTTGCTCTAACAAGAGATCGACGGGTGGGTGTTGTCGAGGCGTACTTTTCTCAGTCTTCGGCATTGTTCGTTGTGATTTAGTATTCTTGATTTACCACATGTTTAACTTTGAGTTTCCGCCGACCTGGAGAAAAACGGAGCTGCAGTGTGAGCGCCGGATGCGTCTCAATGTCGCCAACGAGTCAAGGCACAAAACACCCCATGGTGGTAATTGCTCCCGTTGCATGTTGCTGGTTCAGCAGAAGTGTAGTCGTTGTAAATGGCGGCGTAAATAAGGCCAGTGGCCCTGCATACGGTCGATGAAATCGCGCGACAAACATGGAATATTCAAGTCGTCTCACACGGCTGTGAACACGTAGTGCCAGTTGCCCGTTAGTATTCTATGAGGCAGGCTGAAGTCTCTACCCGGCCTTGTACAGGGACCACTAACCACTTCTGGCGTTTTTCTCTTCATGAACATGACACGGAAAGTTCTTGGTAGCTTTCGATCACACCTATTTACCAGATAGGTACGCGTCAATCTTGTACCTGGCCGTTGCCTTCTAATGGTGTACTAACTCGAAGCCAAACCGTAGAGTTGCTGGCGGTATGTCGACACGTGGAAGTTCTCGAGGCAACACCGCCTACGCCGAGATTTGGACGACTACAGCCGTACCTTGGGAAACCACAGGCCTTCCCCCCCCCCGCAGGGTTTGGGCGTGTTACACGTGCCGGATATTGATTTCTGTGTGTGCATGATTTCCTGTGTGTGATTCCTTCATGCTCGACGTTGCTGACTGAGATGGAGCTACGCCGCGATCTAGCTTCGATTCTCCACTATCATACTACCGCCGTTACGACATGCGTTTTCTTTGGTGGTACTGCTGTACTGTAAAAAGTCGTTGCGGCGGAGGTGACGCAAGGGGAGTGCGCGATGTCGAGCTCACCCGGGGCGCACCCGGCGTGCGCATCATCAAGACAGAAGTCGGTCCTTTGCTTGCGGAGATGCGCCGACTCTGGCGTCGTCGCATGCGCAACTCCAAAATGGGACAAAATTTTGCACTGACAGCTGTAAGTCTGATCGGAAAAGGAGTGCGGTGGTGCATGGCATTGCTCGAAACAAGCGTTTACCAAACCAGAGGCATCTTGGGAACCTCTGGCCTTGTGCGTTTCTCCTGCATCTCACGCCGAACCTCCCCCCCACCCCCCCTTTTGCCCTCTGCGTCATCCCTGTCGTCAGCAAAAGCGGGCATACGGCGTGTAGAGTTACAAAATCCCTAATTGGACGACACTGCAGATTTTTCGAGCATTCCTTCCTCCGGGTGTTGAGGTGCGCAGAGCGTGGGGAGGAAGGGAACAAAAAACCAGCAAGGCAGTAAGTAGACCATTCCACCTGTGCCCCTGAAGGAAAAGGGGTGGGTGGGTTGAACGGGATTATGAGGTCCGGGAGGTCGTTGCCAGGCGGCGGCGGCGGCGGCGGCGGCGGCGGCGGTGGCGGCGGGGCCGGCAACAGCAACAACAAGATCGTCGTCAGCAACAACAACACCGCCGGCGGAGGCGGAGGAAACGGCGGTAATGGCGGGGACGCCGATTCGTTCGTGTCGCGCATCTCCGACTGGTTCATGAAGTGGAAGGTCCGCCCGGATGTGGTCCTGCGGGGCCGACACGAGAACAAGAGCAAGGGGGCGCTCAGCGCCTTCTGGCAGGTATGTAAGAGACGGCACCGAGCCGTGCTGATGCTACTAGTATAGTATACTGCTGTGTTATTTGTTGAAGCGAGTTTGGGCGTGGTGGGGGGTGCGTACTCATGTTTTGCATGCCTTGGCGATTAGACCATTGCCCACGCGTCTTTGAGAGGAAACAGGTTGGCCGGGAGAGGGGTGGTAGGCGTCCGAACGTCGTTCGGTCGATTCTTGTTGCTTGTTGTTCGTGGGTGTGGTTTGCCGGAGAGGAGAGAGCAGCAACGTCGCCGGTGCGTCTACATATTGTCTCCGCGTGAGAAACCAGGAGTATTTCCCTACTATGCATGCCTTCATGCCGCGGGCGGAGGTATACGCGGGGGTGGATTCCCGATCGCACAGCGATCGGTCCGCCATTGCTGGGGGTACGCAGAGCCAAGGTGGGACTGGCGGGAGATGCATTGATCTACGAAGCCCCAGGGTGTAAATGGAGGTGGTTGTTTCTCAGTCTGCGATATTGCGTTAGGATCAAGCATAACCCCACGGGGGATGGAGGCTAGACACCGGGGATATGACCGATTCGTCAAGTATGGCGCGGAGACGTGGAAGGGAGGGTCAGGGTATGTTATGTTGTGTTTTCCGCTGCTGTTTTCTCTCATATGTTCTTGAAAATACACGTACAATCACAGCAAAGACTACCCGTTCGAGATATTACCACAGCAGCCGAACGTGTTCAAGTATTTGCAGTGAGTGGGAGAAAAAAAAAACCCGGTTGAATGTACCCGCCTTTTTCTGAGTCTGTTCGTCTCTTTGTTCTGATCGCCGCCCCCCCGCCTACAACAACGACAACGGCAGGATTACAAGAAGGTCCGGGTAGACTGGCGGGCGCGAGCGGGGATGCGAAGAGATCACTTCGAGCTCGCCCTCCAGCATTACATGAGAATAGACGGACCCAGCCGCGACACCTGCGAGGGTCGCATTCGGTGAGCAAGAAACCAGCCATGTGTAGACAGACTTCCCGCGTGCGTGAAAGCTGTTTTCCGTGCTGCTAGTGGTGCTGATTTTGCTGCTGTTGTGCTGCTGCTGCTGGGAAGACTTTACTGTCCTGACTGCTAGCATGATAGATTATGTTGTGTCCAGAGCAGAGAAGGTTGCCGAGCTCCACGGCCCCCTCCCCCCCCTTCTTTTTTCAATCCCCGAACGTTCATCCCCCCCCCCCCCCGAACGCTCACTCACCCCCTCTTCTCTCTCAACCCCGGAACGCCTTTCAGATACATCTGGGAAACCCGCATCCGAGACAACAGCCACCTCGGGGTGGTGGACGTGTCTTGTCAGCCGGCCAAGGCGAAGGTGGGTAAGCGCAAGCCTTCCATCCTAGCGGCGCAGCAGAAGGAGGATACTGCGGCGCAGCGCCTGGCGGCGCAACAACAGCAACAGCAGCAGCAGCACTTCCAAAGGCAGCAGCAGCAGGCGTTCATGCAGGTGCGTTTTTTTGTGCTGTTAGAGAGAGTGGTACGTCACCACTGCTGCTGTTGGTTGTTGTGCTATGCCATGGGTTGGTCGGTGGTGCAAGCTCTTTGCACATCTCGTCTTGAACAGACATCAGATGGCTGTCCTTGTTGTGATCCAGGGCAAACTAATGTTGCCCATGCAAGCATAGGTCCCAAGCGACGCTGCCTCCCCGCCCCTCCCCGCTTATCGTGTCTGCGTGCCCCCCCTCGCCCAGCCTGACGGAGCAGGAGGAAACTTTAGCATGCCAGGCCTCCAACAGCAGACCGCACCCGGCTCGGGCTCTTCCCGACTCTTCTCTGACGGCAGCAGCGCCGGTGGCGCTATAGACCCCAACGGCATGGCGGTGGGCGGGGCGAGGGGGGGGGTATCCCCAGGCCTTGCTGGCGGCGGCGGGGCCTCCTACGACGGGCACGGCATAGACGACGGAATGCCCGGCCTTTCGCCTTCGCCCGGCAGCGGCCGCGGGTCGTCGGCCAGCATGACCTTTGGCGGGGGGGGGGGGCAACGGATGGACAGGAGGGGGGGGGGGGGCTACCGGGACCCAACGGCGAAAAAAAAGGGGGGGGCGGGGCCCCCCCTGGAACCCCCCCAAGGGGCCCCTTTAGGGGGGGGGGGGGGGAAGGGGGAAATTTCAAAAACGGGGGGGGGGGGGCAAAAAAAATCTTTTAAAAAACGCCCCAAGAAAACATGGAGGGGAATATAAAGGGCCAACGGGGGACCTTCAAAAATGCATGCAAAATTTTAAAAACCTTAAGGTTTTTCCTGAATGGGGGGGGGGGGAAACATGCCCCCCTCCTGCTTCTTCTTCTTTTTTTTTTTTTGAAAATCCCCTAAACCTGAATGTTTTTTTTCATGCTGCACCCCCTTCCTAAGGGGCTGCCCCTTTCCTTTCCTTTTTTTTAAACAGGACCCTGCTGGGTGGTTTTTCCCTTTTTCCCCCACAAAAATTTTGGTTGGGCCCCCCCTTTTTGGTCGTCCTAAGCTTTAACACCACCCCTTGTTCAGGTTTTTTCTTTACCCCCCCTCCGAACGTAAACCCCGGTTTTTTTTTTAAAAGCGGGAAAAAAAAAAACCTTTTTGTTTTTAAAAAAATTCCCCTTTGGAAAAAA